CCTGAGAAGGCTAAACAAAGTGGCATGAAAGGAGCCTGAAGAGGCTGAACAGTGTGTGGTCCAGAGTGTATGTCTGCTGGTGTAAACATGAATGCGGCTTTTACCATATGAAGCCTGTAAGGCTGAACATTGTCAAGATGCTTGTGCAGTGATCCAACCTGCGATGGGTGCAAGCTTTACGAATGCCTTGTCACAGCGCTCATAAAAATCTGAAACAAGCCTGATAAGGCTGAGCTGCAACCAAGCCTAAAGAGGCTGACTCAATGCTCTTTAAAAGCGCACACAAATACATCTGCTACCTCGAGCTACAAAGCACCCCGCAACCTTTTGGAGGATTGTGTTTGGCTGCTTCCGGGACTCCAGCAACACACATGCATTGTGCTCTGACATGTCTGGTGGACTTTTTCCCATTGAGCTTGTGCACCTGCGCCCTACTCACATTCCTCATCTTCCTCATCCTCTTTGGACAAGGCAGAGTATCTGCCAGACTTCTTATACTGCCTTTTGCTGCTAGGTGCTGCTGGGCAGTCTGCTTTCAAAAACTGGAATACAGCACTGAGCTGGCTCTCATCCAGTGCAACTTGGACATCATTTTGCTGCATCCTTTTGCCAGGACAAAAGACCTTGACATCAGTTCCGAAAATATCCACAGTGACAACACAATCCTCCCTCTGCCTCTTCTTTGAAGGAGCATTTGTTTCTGTGGGATTGCAATCACCGCCGCCAAATTCCTGCTCTGCTTCTTCCAGGCAGACGTTCTGCCAAGCCGCCAGCCTCTTGGCTTTCAGCTCCTGCATCTTAGCACCATTGGCTAGGGAAGCATTCTTGGGCAAGCGGCAGGATGAGCCACACACCAGCTTGGCAATCTCTGGCTTGGAGCCTCTGAGCTTCAGGAATGTGGTGCCATCAAAATCTCGCAGTAGCTCTGCAGGAATTGCTTGGGTGGTTCCATCAAAAGTCAAGGCAACGGCCCTCGTGATTTCCACCTTCCCAGCCATGGCTGGGCAGTGGCTAACTAAGAAGCACCCACCAGCCTATTGGCGCAGATGCTGCAGCAGACAGCTGGGGCGTCTCAGGCATCATGCGCCCAAGGTGCTTAAGCCTGATAAGCCTGAAAAGGCTAAGGAACCCACTTGTCACAAGCAATGCCAACTAGCCTGCCAAAGCCTGAGCCGAGCCCTGAACCTGGTGAGCCTGAAAAGGCTAAGCCAAACAGCCTGCCAAAGGCTGAGCCCTGACCCTGAGCAGCCTGAATAGGCTAAGGAATCAGCCTGCCGCAGGCTAAGCCAAACAGCCTGCCAAAGGCTGAGCCCTGACCCTGAGCAGCCTGAATAGGCTAAGGAATCAGCCTGCCGCAGGCTAAGCCAAACAGCCTGCCAAAGGCTGAGCCCTGAACCTGATGAGCCTGAAAAGGCTAAGGAATCAGCCTGCCGCAAGGCTGAGCCAAACAGCCTGCCAAAGGCTGAGCCCTGAACCTGAGCAGCCTGAAAAGGCTAAGGAATCAGCCTGCCGCAGGCTAAGCCAAACAGCCTGCCAAAGGCTGAGCCTATAGCAGCCTGCCAAAACTAACGAGCTTCCAACATGTGACCAAGACTGGGTGCACACAACGCAACTCCTTGCAAGCCCATGCAATGCTTCCAAGAAAGCTTGCAGGCACAGCTTGCGCCCCTTTATTCAGACACACCGTTATATGCTGCAGCTTCATGCTGAAGACTTCTTTGCCTTCTTCCCACAAGCACTGTCTAGCATTCTGGACGCTGAGTCCAAAAGCAGCTCATCCCCTCTGTCAAGGGGCCTCTTGTTCCTATACAGTGGAATTATAATGCCGTCCTTTTTCATGCTGGTCAGTTCCATGTTGCCAGCTTCGCCTTCAGGTGCGTGCTTGATGAAGTTGAATGGCACAAATAGCCCAGCTTCCTTTCTGAAATCCACTTTGCAAGGCGCAATCTGAAACTTAGTTTCCAGGCCAGGGTAAGTCAGCACCACAACATTCTTTGCATTTTTGTCAGGCTTTGCTTCCACCACTGTCCCCAAGGGTAACAACTTCAGTCCACCTCTCTTGACACTACTGCTGGCAAAGATCTGGTTGCTGCTTGACATCAAGACTTCAGGCTCATGACTCCTGGGATGGCTTGCAGGCACGGTAAAGCAACCCTCACAAAGCAACATGTAACAATTCCTAAAAACACTTGCCACTAGCATGTCTTTCTAAGGCAGGTTGCTCCAAGTACAAGTCATAGATGGCAGTTTGCAGCACTGCCTTGGCTTTGTCTACCTGGAGCTGCTCTGAATTCGCTGGCTGCATCTTCGTCAAAATGCTGCCGTCAATCAGGGCAGGCTCTTTCGAGTAGCAGACTTTCCAAGTCTTTAGCTCATCATGCTGCACATCCACTGTCACAGGGCTGCCAAACAGAGGGGCGTGCGTCATCTTGGCAAAAGAAGCCTGCATCTCAGTGAATTTGAAAATTTGGCCAGGATACTTTGCATTGGTGTAGCATTTGCCAACTTCCAAGTGAGGGTTGGCAGACATCGCAATGAACTTAGGGTCTGCTGTGTTCTGCAAAGGGACAGGGGGTTTACTGCCAGAAGATGCAGCACCACTGGCTGCAAGCGCAGCAGGAGCAATCTTGCCATCCTTCACCATGGCAGACCAGTCCTCTGAAAACAGAGTGTTGATTTGCTCCAGGCTGTCATAGGACTTCTTCTCCCTGCCTTTGGCCTGCTTGTTCAGCATGAACAGGACCAATCTGCACATAAACCTTCCCAAGGCCAAGCACTTCTTGTCCCATGCCAAGCATGGTGTCTTGGATGCCAAGTTCCAAGCATTCACCAACAGCAACTCTGCCTTACTGACCATGCTGCCGAAAGCCTGGCCTTTGAGCTTGTCCACATCTGTTTTGCTCAACAGCCTACCGTAGCCATCTCTCTGGACAGCTTTGGGCGAAGTAAGCTGTGTGGCAATGAGGGCTGTCCTCAGCATTGGGTAAGTTGTTGAGCTGCTTCTGAAGTCAAGGTTCACCACATGGCTGAGAAATTCCTCCCCCAGCTGTAGCGCACCTCCAGCTTGTCTGCCTTACACAGCTCACAGCAAACCAGCCTTGGTATTAAGTTAATGCAAACCAGTCACTGATGGACTCTGCAAGCTTCACCAAAGGGAACTCCTCACCTCCACCATACTTTGCTACCCATTGAGCAATCATGGGCACATAGTGAGCCCTGAGTGGCATGCAGGCTGCGGTCTGGGCAATGGCAACATCCAAGTCCTTGCTCCTGCTGTACCAGAAAGCCAAGCTCATTGCTTGCTCCATCTCCGTGGGCGTGCTTGCCACCTGTTGAGAAGTGTTCAAGCTGCCTTGCAAGAACCCGGGGAGCCACTCAAGGTGTTCTTCCACTTCTGCGCTGATCACCTTCCATGTCCAGCCTTCCTTGATCAAAGCTTCTAAGACCGGGTCTGCATACTTTGAAAGCAAACTGTCCAAGGTCAGCAGGCCATTGTTCACTCTGGCAAGTTCTTCGTGCTCTGTGCTGCAAGTGCCTGCTGCCACTGTTTTCATAAACATGCCCACATGGGAGCAAGCCACTGTCAAATATCTTTCTGTGGAGAGCACTGGGGCAATTTTGTTCTCTGACGCGCTTACCAGCTCCAGGTTTGCCTGCAGTTGCGTCTGCTTCTGGCCTGGCTCCTTTGCCATTTCAAAAGCCAAGGAGTCACTCAGCTTGTCCACCAAGCACCCCATGGTCAAAACCATGGCTCCTTTGGCATGCATGTCAAAGCTGTTGAGCATGGCCCCAGATCGGTTGCTGGGATGCACCAGCAACTGCACAGGCTTCACCTTCTGCTCCCACAGCAAGCCTGCAGCTTGCAGCTTGCTCAAAATGACCTGACACTTTCTGTTGATCTGAAGCCCTTCATCACATCTCACTGCTATAATCTCTGCTTTCAAAGCATCATCCATGGCATGGGGCTGCAGCACTAGCAGCTTGGTGACGGCTGCCTTGTAATGTCATGCTTCGCTTGCTGGTCATGAAACTCTGCATGTTCCTTGTGCTGCGCATGTGCTGGGCAGGTGCTTCTTGCTGCTCCTCTATAGTTGCACAACTCCATGAAGCACTGAAAGCATGCATGCAACACAAGCCTGCGCAGGCTGAAAGCCGCAGCAGCTCATGGCTTCTAGACAAGAAGGCTGAGCCTGTGAAGGCTGAAAAGAAACATCAGAAGCCCAAGGGGCTGATAATGGTGCCACACGCAAGGAGCATTGCAGCATGGCAATTCCAAAATACAAGCTCAGCGATGCCCTGTTAACTGCGAGCCTGTGCAGGCTGATAACAAAACCATAGCCCAATGGGCTTACTATCAAACAAAATGAGGCAGCAAACTGCCAAAGCTGCATGCCTCAAAGAGGTGCGCAAATCATATGCTAAAGGAATCCCAGACCGGTACAAACAACATTTGAGATTGCTTTGGCCCTTTGCGGCACTATTGAAGGCAAGAACAAATCATACCTTACTATTACCTTACTAGCCCATTAAGAAGTGTGCTAAGCAAAAGTCAAAAGTTAGCTAATCCTGTAGCTAACTACTTATAAACTAGCTACTTTAACTAGTACACTTACACATGTTAGCTATTTTTTATGTAAGAGCATTAACTCAATCAGCACTTTACGCTGTTTATAAGCACTTACAACTTGTTACTAAGGCTTTACTTGACTTTTACAAAATATTTAGCAGAGGCAGTAACCATGGCAAGTCACTATTAAGCACACAGCCGATCCAAGCAAATGGCCAACAACCACCGCAACTGATGCGCCTTCGACGTAATCCTCAACTCAAATAATTTGGGATTGACCACTAATCAGCTGGAGTCGACAAGCAAACAAAAACATACATCATGCGCACACACGCGCGCACACACACACACACATGTTTGAAAGCCGCTCCCTTCCGGATTCCAGCCGTCGAGTGGCACCCGAGCGGTGTACGACACACACAGCCCGTGTGGCCTGAGCTCTTCTGGCGGCTCATGCGCTTTCCTTGGCCAACAGCGAGCAAAAAGGGCCCCAACAGCCACAAGTTTCTAGAGTGACGTACCGCCTCTCACCGCGCGGGGTCAAGGGACTCTTTCAGCTGGGATTGGTGAGGTGCCAACTGTGCCGGGACTTAAATAAAGAGATCCTTCCAAAGAGCATTGTTTTGTTTAGAGGTTCAGGGCTTATACACTGCTGGGGAGGCTACTTGGCGGGCTTCGCGGGGCCAGAATTCGTTGAAGGGGCTTCGCGGCAAGACTGTGGCTTCGCGGAGTGCGGATGCTTGTTCCACAAACATCTCTGATGTTTGCGCTCTCGTGTAGTTGAGTAAAGTTGAGTCCATGCGACAAGGGGCGATGAAAGGCGGTAAGAGCCTTTGAGCTTCAGGACTAGGGGACATGGCTGGGCCTGAGAAGTTGGACCGCAGTGGCTTCGCGGAGGCTTGGCGCGGGCTTCGCAGGGGCTTCGCGAAAACGTTCCATCGTTTCAAGCAAAACCGGGCCTGAAACGCACAGTGCTCTTCCGGTCGCCTTCCTGTCGTCTTCCCATAATCTTCCAGCAGTCTGACTGTAATGTTCCTGTAGTAGCTGGGAATGACTTTGAACATCAACCTTTGGCATGCCATGAAATCTCATAACACGCTCCAACCACAAAGTGGCTTCGCCAAGTGGCTTCGCCTGTCAATTTTACCGGGCTGCGCGAATTGGCTTCGCGGGGCTTCGCAGCACACAATGTATCACACAAGTGGCTTCCCCACGAAGCTAAAATCCATCATCTGAGAAAAAAACGCTGCTCAAATGGCTCCCAAGGTTAATGGAATTGCGCCAACCTAGTGATCTTCTGGCAGAACTGCATATGGATCCTGTTCCGATGTTCTTTTCAAATGGATCCGGTTTCAGTTTTCATGTTGGTTGCTGCAAGGCCGAAAGCAGGCTCAAAGCTCACTGATGTTCACTGCATCTTCTTCTTTCAGCCCAGTGACTCATCTTCCAAAGCTGCGGCATCTTCCAAAGCCGCGGCATCTTCATTGGGCGGGGCGGGCTCGTCCTGCCAAACGCAGTGCGAACAAACCTTGCCTGGGGCCAGGTACACAAAACACATTTGATCACTTTCCGTCCTGACATTTGACAACACATGCTCAATGAGAATGGCTGGTGTGAGAAGCAGCCTACATTTGTTGCTCATGCTGCCCCGAAATACTTCTCAAAGCAACCTTGCCTTGGCCAACAAACAGCTTTTCACTGCCAGCTTCCTCGGTCTGGGTTGTCTTACATCCTGAAGACATTGCTGGTTCGCCGCTCAAGCCAGCACGCCGTGACGAGCGGAGAGATCATCCACGTTCTTTTGTGGGTCGGGGTGGCCAGGCATCTGGAACCCAGCAAACAACCTAGGTGAGGTGGCTGTGGGTCAAAATCCAAATCGTAATCTAGTGAAAATCCAAAAAACACCACTAAAATAGGTTCTACAATGGGTGGCGCGCCTTCCCCGCAATGGCACCATTGGTTTTGACCCACAGCCAGGTAGGACTTTAAATCAGAACCAGTGGCGACGGTCCTTGAAAAGCGAAAGGCAACACGGGCGTTTTGAGGGCAAGGTGGACATCAATGGGGTTAACGTCCGCCGACGATGTATTAACTTTGATTGTGGTGTTATGTCCCTTTCTTGCTTGTTTTATTTTGTTTCTTTTTCATTGGGGGGAGTTCCCCTTAAAACTTTGAGCCATATCAGCACCCCAAAGATCCCAAAGAAGAACCTCAATGTACAAACACGTTGAACTCCTCAAGGACATCGCTAAGGGACAAGGAATTTCGCCCAAGTCGCCGTCCTCGGACGAGCTCCGCCTCTTGCGCTTGAGCACCACCCGAGGCCTTAAACCACGCGAAGGAAAACGGAGCATACACTGCGCAAGCCTCACTGGAATGGTCGGGTTGCGAAGCCCTCTTCACCTGGGCCCTTTCCAGTCATCGAACTTGTTGCTGAAGTTCTAGAAAAGCCCGCGCGTGAGCCCAAGCGTTGCTTTGCAAATCTCTGTTTGATGCAAACAGTGAGGAGGAAGGAGGAAGTAGAGCGGGTGCAGGAAGCTCGCGGTGTTTCGTGGAAGTTGCTCAAATTTCCTGCTTCCGCAAAGCCAAATTTTCGTTAGGAAACTTTTTCGCGAGCCAGCACGCCTGCATGCAAACGCAGTAACCACGCCGTTCACTTGGACTGGCAAACTTGCAATGCGTTAAAAGAAAGCAGTCGCTATCATGCGCCCTTTGCAGACTGGCGAATGCCGGACACCAAATGCGCGGAACCTGCAACAAGCTCTCCGATCTTTGGCTGATCTTTCGCGAAACTTGCCCCAAAATGTCCCAGCCAACGCTTTGGTTTTGCGAGATTCCCAGCGCCAATGGCGCAAGCAGGGAGCCAAGGATACAAATAGAGGTGCTGCGCATCTCCCTGTCCCCACGGGAGTGGGTCTGCAACTATATGTAAGCATACTAGTATGTATCCAAGAAACCATGTCTTTGGCGAACAAACGATTCTCTTTCGCAGACTCCTTCGCCGATCTTTCGCGGGCGCAAACACCTGCAATGCTGTGGTCCTCCACATCATGAGCCCTTACAAGGTCCTGTTGATCAACTCCCACGTATAGCTGCGCCCAACGACAAGCTTGTCAGCAAACAGGCACTTGCAGCCGCATTCAACGCAATCAACAAAGGAGTTTAGATAGAACACATTCGACTTGCGGACACCTCACCATGGCACATCTGCCAGGACGTGTGCGCACTGATTGCACATGCAAAATTGCATGGACAGTAAACCACATCACAAATACTGACATTTCGCGATTGAGCTAACTAATCGCGCAAAGAGTGTCGAGGAGCGTTTGAGTGCAAAGCAGTGCAAATTTTCAGGCGCAGTGTAGTGCCTTTGTGTTCGCTGATTGCATGACGAAGCTGGTAAGCCCGCCAGTGCAAATTCAATTGGGCGTGGCGTCTCAACCAATCACTTGAAGTCTGGCTGCATTGTCGCATTGGATCTGCAAATGTTACTATAATTGCAAAAGCTGAACTACAGGATCCCCAAGCAAAGGACTTGTATCATGGTGAGCTCGTTATAATCTGAGGTGAGCTCGCCATTAAACAGGCGAGTGTTTCCTCACATTTATTCAATTGGTCCGAGTTGCTCCGATCCATCAAGCATGGAAAGCTGGCATCACCCTGCACATTTGCGTGGGGGAAAATTCCGCGAAAAGCGAACATGGATTTCGCTAGATTTTGTGGGTGGCACTTGGGACTCAGGCCCTTCAACGACCCCACCCCGAAGCCCCGCCAAGCGTCCTGGGCTCTGGCACCATCTCCTGGCCCAAAACCACGTGCCGTGCCATTCTCTTGAAAAGGTCCGGGGAATTGAACAGCTCTCTTCTTCCATTTGCTTAAGCCCCCTGGAAAAATACCAGTAGTGATAGATTCCCAAAACCAACAAGGGAAAATCTAAACTATTCTTAAGCACATGGAAGTCTTGATTTTGAGGGGCCAGTGCTGAACACCGAGCCGAAAGCAGTTGAAAGCCAACGGTAGGCTTGGCTTTGGACAACTGACGTCGGAGCCCACACTGCAACCACACGACTGTGCAACTGAAAATTGCTCCACTGAGGCATGCAGCTTGGCAAGTGCATAGCCTAACTGTCAAGCAAGGGGCGTTTTGTCAACGTTACACTGCACCCGGCGCCACTGGCGGTTTGCTCACTCGGCCAACACATGGAACGGAAGCGTTTTGTTTGCACAGGTCATTCTGTCTGAGGCTTGCTTTCGCCATGCCGATGTTCCCTTGGAAGCTCCAACCTGGCTCCATTTACAGAGGCGAATTGGGGGGAGCTTCTGGCTGCTAGACTGAGGGAGTGTAGTTCACCGGCCTGCCTCACCAAAGACATTAAACGGCTTGGAGTCGTGGACCTGCAAGGAAAGCCAACACGAGGGAAGTGCATGCAGAGGGGGTTCTCACCATATGCCCAAGAAGCACTCATAAATGGTCGGAAGGAAGCAAGTGGAGGCGCTGAAAGGTTCCAATCTGTACGCGAGAGCCGCTTCCAGGAGTTGCTTTCTAGGCGATCGCCCAAAGTGGACTGCGAACCCCTTGGTTGAAACTGACTTATCAAGTGGGTTGGCCCAACACAGTCCAATTGCTGGGTTGCCACCAAGATCCATCTTCCAAAATCCAGTAAATGGCCAACTTCCCTGGCACTGCTGTGGCACTGCTGTGCTGGGAACTGGCATGGTCTGGAAATTCCATGAAGGCAATCAAAAGTATGGGTTTTCAAGCGCCTGGGCTATGTATCCCTATGTTCTTGTCATTCTGCCCGCAAACGTTCGACGCCAACCTTCAGCCCTCCCCGATGTTTGCTCCCCGCGCCTTGTGCCCTGCCTTCGGTCTTGCGCCCTGCGGTGGCCTTAAGCGACTGGCGGTGTTGCGCACACGCAACGAGCTTGAAGCCATGCAGAAAAAAGGCATAGTTGATAGTCCCATGGAAGCAAGAATATGTTCGGAAAGACTGGTCCAACTGGCCTTCTATATCGGTTTCCAAGAGTGTTTTTTGTTCGGAATAACTGGTCAATTATTTTCGGAACAACTGGTCCAATTGGCCTTCTCAGCGGCTTTCTTCGCAGAACTTCGACGAGACCGCTGAGCCTGTGGCCAAGGTGACTCCTGCCATAGCGCTAGGGCTGGGGCTTAGGCGTGAAACCTGAAAATCAAACAAAGTTAGCGCTTTGAGGCCCGATGTCATTAAAATCAAAAAGGACCCACCCGCAGCATGCAAACCGCCGTCTGTGTGAGTTAACGGTTAATGGCGAGCTCTTTATGTCCCCAACCACGAGCTGCTTGCCCCAGAACACAGCCTTCCATCTGAAGCAGTTCGCAAAGCTACACAGCGCAATGTATAATCTTGATCACTTCAGGCAGCCCGATACCCCTACCTAGACTCTCCTTCTGACCCTTAAACAATGGGTGTATCTTCGGCGTGGGCAGAGCCTCCATCCGCTCACTGTGCAAGCCCTTCGCGCGCTGTCCTGCGCGATTGGCTATGGGCTTGTCCGTCCCCAAATTGCGGAAGTGAGATCGCAGCAAACACCTTTGACGCCCCTTTTCGCACCCAAACCCTCACAAGAACAGAAACATGCGCCCATGGTCCAGCCCAAGGGAAGCCTTCAAAGGATCACAGCCAACCTGTCAGAACTCAAACACTGCATTCGTCACATGTGGCGACTGAGGCCCCTCCGGCCAGTCACCCTCACCGTCCAAGAACGTACAAGGCACGGAACCTGTCTCAGACATCCCCCCTACCTACCTTAAGGGGGAGGGGGGTGGGGGGTCCCCAATTCCATTTATCTAGTCTTCCCCATAAAAAGGGAAATGGAACCACAAATGGAATTCCAGGGGCCACCCCCCTCCCCAAATTCCATTTTTGAGGGGGTGGGATTCTCAAACCATGCACCAAAGTCTCACCCTTCGCGGGTCTCAGTGACATCCCTCCGCTCAGCCCTCCTTGTAGCTCCGGGCGTGCCTCCGAGAGATGGAAACATGGGTCATGGCAGGGCCCAGGCTTCAGGGCTGACTTGGTTCAAAAACAGATTGTTTTGTTGTTTTGTCTTTTTGGTTTTTGCGGTCTTTGTGTTTGACCGAAACTTTTCGGGTCTTTGATACAAACACTCTTTGTGTCCCACTCTTGATACATACGCAGTCACTTCTCCGGGGTCTTTGACTGAAACCCAGTGAAAAGTGGCCAAACTGAAAAATGCCGCTCGCTTGGCCAAAGGGTTCCACCCAAAAATCAGACACCGCAAAGGCCGGATCAAAACCGACAAGCTGCCGTCTCGGCGCCCAAGCTGAACAACGCAGAGGTTCTTGCCGGGTATCCCGCCGCCCTTTCTGCTTAACTTTTCCTGCAAGAACCCCTAGTCTTGACCTGGGAACGTGTGAGCAACTGGCGGAAAAAAGGAGAGGTGCTCTCACAGGTCGAGTGGTCATGGGAGAGAAAAGAAAGGCACCCTTTCTTGGCTGGTTCCGCCACATTGCTCAAGACACGTGCCCGCCTAAAAGGGCGGCGGGGGCCACAAGAAATGTTTATCGGACGTGTGCTGTGGTATCGGTAAAACCGCGTTTTAGCGGGCGTGAAGCATTCTTTTGCATGGATAGTGAGATCAACCAAGGGTTCCAATTTGGGCATTTTGGGTGTGACACCTAGCCAGCTTACCTGAGACACGTTGCGCGGCACCAAGGCAATAGCCTGCAAAGTTTTCTCAGCCCTGACCATCTGCGGTCTTGCGTGGAAACCGTGGTAATTAGAGCGGTAACCAAGGAGTCTCAAGGATTTAACTTTGGTTGAGGGCTCACCCAAGATCACGGCGTCCCAGAAATCCGGCTCAGGCTTCAACAAAGTGTCTAAAATTGTTTAGCCGTCCCGCATGGGGATGGTTCTCAGAAATGCTTCTTGCGACACGTCAGCTTTGTTGATTGGTTGACTTTAATTGGAACCCTTCCCCCCCACAAAAAAAAGGAAAAAAGGGCAGCACTGGGCAACTGGGTGCCATAGGTGGCCTTTTTGTAAGAGAAAAGGGAAATAGATGGCACTGGTGTAGTGTGGGGTGCCTCCTCATGAACCGCGTAAGGCAACGACGAACAGGTAAACAAGCCAAAGCTGACACGGGCTCTCGCCACGTGCTCACACAAGACTGCTAGACGTGGCTGGTTGGGACATCCAGTTGAAGCCGGGTCAATCCGTGAGCCTATGTTCCGAGATTGCTTCTCAACCCAAGACTTTGGCTATGCATCTCAGCATCTTGCAGCCGGTGCGCTTCTTGCGGGCTCTGCGAGGCTCCTTTTGCCTCAGCCTTCCTTTTGCTCGGAGGTTTTTCCTGACAGCTTTTGAGCTGCTTGGCCCGTACACTTCTTTTTTTACTTGGAGGTCAGGCTGATTCACACGCAGCGCGACCCCGAAAATGAAAGAGAGCCCTGTTTTAAACCATGTCCTTCCACTGAGCGTCGTCAGTCGCAACCAGAGCAAGCGGCCTAAGCTGGCCCAGGCGCGGGTTTGAGCTGAGGCAAGCCACGGCAAGCCAACCATTGGCAGGGCCGCCCAGCGGCTGCGCACCCCCCTGCTTTACGCGGACCACATGCAAATCCAACCTCTTAACACAATGACCACGTACACTGCTACAAGCGAACCGCCACAATTTGTTGTGGTTCTTTTTTGGCCATGGAGATGGCAAGAGAGTAAAGCGAGTACCTTGGTCGAGGCATACAGCGAACTGCGAAGGCAGTCGAACTACATCTGGCCGCAGGTTGTTGCAGCTGAGGCAAGCACGGGCCCGGCCAGCTCGGAGGAAACCACGGGCCGCAGCAAGGGGTGCTCTCATCGAAATGTGCAGCGCCAGGCACAAAAGCGAACCGCAACAATTTGTTGTGGTTCTGCTAACGTTATGGGCCGCGCAATGAGGCAAGGCGGGCAAGAACCGCTGAGGTTCGGAGATCTCTGGCTTGCAAGTTCTCCTTGCGCACCCCTATCATGGCGCAGCGACCGCAAGTATTCTGCCAGCCAATGTGGATCGGCGACCTGGGACGGGACCCAGATCCGGGACCCGGATCCGGGACACGGATTCGGGACCACCCGGGAATGAATCCGGACCCGGGCCAGGACGGGACCCAGATCCGGGACATCCGGGACCCGGATCCGGGACCCGGATCCGGGATCTGGATCCGGGATCCGGGATCCGGATTTGGGCCACCCAGAATGAATCCGGGACCCGGATTCGGGACCACCCGGCGACTCGGAATGAACCCGGGACGGGACCCGAATCTGAACCGCTTTAGAAGCAAAAAGCAGCGGAGGCAGCTACAGCGGGCAATTGTGACCTCTACAAACCCTTAAACTACTGTACCATGCTTCCATTAAACTCAAGGCAGCCTTCAAAAAGCAGTGCCTTGTATTAGTATGAAAGCGCAGACTAAAAAGGACACCTATGCTGGGTGCGCTTTTTGCTTGGTTCGAGCCTAGGGTCCACGTCCCCGCCTGCTTCTCTGGCGTACGCTCAGTAAGGCGCGCCGCCTTCTGCTTGGACAGGGCGGCCTTGAGGGCTTCCTTGGCTGTGCGATCGACCTGGTGGAGTCTCTTGGTATGGGCAAAATGACATGGAAAAACCTGGGGGAGGGGAGGGAGGGGGGAGGGAGCCCAAATAAGGCGATAGGAATGGCTGGAATTGGGACCCCAGCAAAAAACAACATCTTTTTTGCCGAGTGAGTGGAAAACAAAGACACCCCCAAAAAAACAAAAACACAAAAAGGGGAGCTAATTCTGGGGAAGAAACTTGGTTGCTGGAAGGACCCCCCTGCGAAAAGTGAATAACTTTTGGGGGGTGTAGTGGAAAACCCAACTTGCTTTCCCAAAAAGCTAAAGCCTAAAGATTTAACCCAATAGCAGTCAAGAAAAGTGCATGATACCTACAAGCTCAGCTTGCAAAACTGAGCCTCAAGCCAGTCACATTACAGCGCCAAGCGACAAAACATTAAAAAACAACTCTACCAGCTACATTATATATATATATATATCTATATGTGTGTATATCCATACATAACCCATGTTTCGCTGGGGCCTGACCCGGGTCGTGCCATGCATGCTTGCACAACTCCTTGAAGGCATGAAAAAAACAGTATAAAGAAACTAATCAAGATCCTGGAACTCCGAAAGGACATCTGCAATACAATGTTGAAAGCTGATTTGAGGGATTTTAGGGCAAAGGACCTTGGCAGAAACATCTGGGCTGTCCTCAGGTCCCCGGCTCAAAGTTTAACTTTCTGTGGGTTACATGAAACCTACCACGAAGCGCTAAAAAGATCAAAAAGGCTAAGGGACCGAGGGACCGGATGGGCTGGGAGTCACCAAGACATGCATGTCACGCTGACGCCTTTGACAAGCTTCCATTTGCTTAGGGCCCCTGGAAAAAATAAACAGTAGTGATAGATTCCCTTTAAAACCAACAAGGGAAAATAAAAGTAAGCCAAAAAACACGTATTCTTAGGCAAATGGAAGCAACTGCATCCTCCGCGCCTGCTTCTTCTGGAGCTCGTCCACCAAGTTTGAAGCCTCCTCGCTCAGCGACTCCTGAACTCTAAAGATGCGTGGCCAAACGGGCTGCCAATCTGGGCTGCCCTCAGACCCAGTAAAAAAGCTTAACTTTTAGTGGGCTATACATGGAAACTGCACTAAACCCTGACAAACTCAAAAGCTCACGGGATGGCTGGGAGCCAGATATCTGCCCATCTCACGAACAACTAGGAATGAGACTCCGATGCAAGTATCTGCCAGAAATGCATCTTGGCAGTTTCTATGTCTGTTTGGTAAAGGGTAACAGGAGATATCGCTTTGCACAGCCAATCAGCCAATGATAGTGGAACCTTTCAAGAGTGACATAGGGACTATTTGCGTTCCATTTGACATGCCAGGCATCAGCAAAGTCCCATGCGCACATCCACCGAGCACTGCATCCACCAAGAACATGTGCCACGAGCAAGGCCAAGACACATGCTTCCAGCAAGTTGGTAAACCATTGTTGGTGATTCGCGAGCATTGCTCCCATCTCTGCATGGTCGGGAAACCACGCCACACAAGCATGCCCCACCCCTGAATGCTGCACACGCCCCCTTCCCCAGAACCCCTCCGACGAGCTGGAAGATGCCGATTCCTGACACTGGACAGTCAGAGCCACATATTATGTTTGCTCAGTTGGCACACATGCCATCTTCCAAACTCTCACAGGAATAGCTAGGGAGCCACAAGGATCGGTGTCAACCTGGACGCTTTTTGCCAACGCCTTTCAACTCCAGTGCGTGGCATCCGGTCAAAAAGCAATACATGGTTGGCTGCCATGGCTGGCAGCATGTATTACGTATATCGCCCTTCAAGGTCCCCATAGGTCCGCCATCAGGCTACTAGCTGAAACATGTTGTTTCTCCTGCTCAGGGGAAGGGACGGCATGAAAATCGGAGACAACTTGCGCAATCCTATTGCACAGGCAAGTACGGGCGCAAAAGCACTGTGTTGAACATGACACTGACAAAAAAGACAAAACACATTTGACTTCTTCACACCACAGGCAAATGCCAGCCAAGCCAATGTTTGTCTAAGTACTAATCACCCCAAGGAAGCTACAGCGCAGCAACTTCGTACGACCCTTGGATTTGAGGGCTTCTGTTGCCGCCTGCCTCATCTTCCGCGGAAGCCTTTGCCGCGGAAGCCTTTGCAGCTGCGGACTCAGCAAGCACGGCCCGCACCTCACGTTTCAAGGAAAAGCCACCCACTGCTACCTGCTCTCGGTTGCTTTCTGCTCCCCTGCTAAAAAAATATATATTTTTTAGTGGTTTAATGGAAAACCCATTAGTTGGAAAAAAGTGGAAGTCCCATCCAAGCAAAATGCACCAAAGTTCTGCGCCTTGCACCAAGAAGTAATCTCCTGTGCATGTCACTCTTCATTGGCACGTGCAACATGAGCACGGTTGAGCACGGCACAACACTAGCTGATAGGCTTGCTCCTTCCGGTCTGCCTCTTGGTTGAGAAGCTATGCTGCATGAGCTTGAACTGAAAGCAAACACTCAACAGCTTGCATCCTCAAAAGCTGGGTAAGACGGTAAGTTGCACACCTTTGGAACTACCAACCCTTTTGGGTTGGTTCAAAGGGAAGTCACAGGAACACCACCAATTTCAGGGCTTACTCAGCGGCAAACCCATTTCCAGGCCTTCCGCAACGCCGCTTGCTTTGCTGCTGATTGGCTTAGCAGAGTCGCTGGCGTTGCCTCCACCTGTCGCTGCTCAAAAAAACGTGACGTCAAGCAACTTAGCTTCTAGATGCTGTCCACACACAAAAACAAAAACATGACAAAAGTGACAAAAGGGCATACCTGCCCCGACCTTACAATCCAACACAAAATTAAACCACTGACTCCAATGACAACAACAGCGTCACTCATGCCCTGCCAGACCCTACCCCACCCCCCCCCTCCGGGCGCCCGAACCTGCTTCCGCGCTGGCGCTTCTTCCGGGGCAAACGTTGCTGCATCAGCGGCTCTGGAAGCAGCAGACTCGGCAGGTGGCACATGTGAAGATGCCTCACAGGCAATGGTCATGGGCGAGGTGCATGCATAACACGTGACATCACAGCAAGAGACTCTCGTGGGAGCCCGTGGGCCGCAAACTCTTAACGCACCAAGCCAGCCATCGATTACGTTCCAGGAATGCAAGGTTGCGTGAACGGCCAAATCAAAATAATTCAATACAAGCAGTCTGCAACGCATTTGCTTGACAGAAGCAAATGCCGCAGCTCACTGTAGCCACGACATCTGACATCAGCACTCATCTGGATCCGTTGATCTGTGCAGCATCCCGCGCCTTCTGCAAAGCAGCCAGCTTGGCTAACAAGGCCTCGGGCAAAACAAATATAATAAGCCAACAGCCTGGATGTGTGCCTGTGTCAGCAACTGCTGGCCTTCAACGCTTCTGGCAATCACCCACCACAAATCCAAATGCCTGCCTGACACTCTGGCGCCGCACGGAACGGAACAACCACATATATCAGAGCTCATGCCCGTCCGCACTGACTAGCGCCTAGCTCCCCAGATTCCCGCATGCGCCTGTTCTTTGGAAAGCTTTGCCGCGCTGGATGTAGCAGCAGTGGACTCGGCAGCCGCAGGCGGAGATGCCTCAAACACGATACAAAGCGCCGCAAAGCATGACTCCTGTGATCGATTGTGATCGTGCCGCACCTCAAAACGCCCAGGCCATCGACGGCCATCGACATTTCCCGGGAAAACAAACATCTACAGAGTCTGCCATCTTCATGCAATAACGCCGGACAGTGTATTGCAAAGCACTAGAGCCCAACAAGATCCAAGGAGACCAAATCAAAGTCAGTCAAAAGCACGTACCATCTTCTGTCACGTTCCGCCATGGCCGTCTGCAAAACGTTTCTGTAGGGGTTGGTTCCCCATTCTTCTCAGCCATTGTTCTTTTCAAAAACCAGCCATTGCCCCAGGGTTTTTGGTGGTTTTCTAGAAAGAAGGATCCGTGGAAAGAATGGGGAAGCTACCCCTAGAATTTCTGCAGCAAGTCGCCTTCTGCAATGCAGCCTTCGCTGGGCTCGCCACAGCTGGCCATTGCCCCGCCTTTCGCCATCGGCACAGGGACCACAAAGGAACACACATTCCGCCTCACCTCCTAAAAAAGGCCCCCCTACTAAAAAGCATGTTTGTCCAGAACCCGAAATTCCTGAATACCAAAATAGAGTTGACCAATACAAATCTAATCCAATCTAGCAAAATGTCCCGCGAGGTCAAGCCCCAGTCGGTTTCGTCGTACTAAAAGCCCTTTAAAGCCAGCAGGCTCAAGCTCCAGCAAGCTAAACTGCATCCTGGAAGGTTTCTCCGCTTTTGATCGACCTCCCTGCATTCAAAAGCACCCATTCTTCACTCTCTGACCGGAGGCTTCCTATGATCGTCTGTTTCTCGCGGTTGTTTTCGTTGAGGGACCCCATTCTCCCCGGTAGGGTAGACATTCAGATTAAGCAGCTCCCCACAGTCCATTTTCGCACCTGCTGCTGCGCAGGCGCTTGTGCTATGTCAGCAGCTGAGTCAGCAGCTTCAGGTGGAGACACCTCAAAATCGGAATTGGTATGCACGAGGGGCGCTACACAACATCCTCATTGACATTCGTCGCATGCTTTGGTCCACGAGCGCCACCGAAATGAACACTCACAACAGCCGACAACAACATGAAGTCCGAAACAAGCTTCAACCATTGCCATGGGCTGAAAGATCATCGTTTACGGGCCTGCCCAAGCTTGACAACTGCCCCCACGCATACAAAACCAGCCTGCAGAATGTCTCGTTCGAAGCACCCGCCCTCACCCGCAACAGAAAACCACACATGTTCACACCTACTTTCCCAAAACCTGCTGCTCAGGTGCCTGTACCTTTGCAGGCTTTGCCGCGCTGGCAGCGTGGGCTGCAGCGGGCTCAGCAGCCGCAGGTGGAGATGCCTCAAAATCGGAATCGGAATGGCATGGAGTTGCAAAGTCTTTGAACACCACTGGACAATGATCCTTGGCCAATCTTGCCCATCTTGGCACCCTGGATTGCAGCTCATCCATCAGTGCTCCCATGACACGATGCAATTGCCCAAGAACCAGGACAACTCCAACAGTATTCAGATCAATGCGGCAACTGCTAGGGTTGGGCCAATCAGTCGAAACAAGTTTCAACCATTGCCACGCCTGAAATATCATCGTTTACGCTGCCTAGGGTTCCCTTTGCAAGAGTCTTCGGTCTGGTTGTCAAAGCGGTGCTGCCCAAGCTGGACAATTGCCCACCACGCATACAAAACCAGTCTGCAGAATGTCTCGTTCGACGAACCTGCCCTCACCCGCACGACGTAACTGCACTGCTTCCAGGCCTTCTGCGAGTCAGTCTGCTTGGCTGGCGCGACTGCTTCCGCCTCAGGCAGCACAGATTCAGGATGCGATGTCACGAAGGCCTGCGTACTGCGTACAGGTCTCCCCGAATGCCTTCCCAGCGATTGCGGCCGCAATACCACCAAGCATTTCCGGCCATTTCTGGTTGTTCAACAGAAAACCACACATGTTCACGCCTACTTTCCCAAAACCTGCTGCTCAGGTGCCTGTACCTTTGCAGGCTTTGCCGCGCTGGCAGCGTGGGCTGCAGCGGGCTCAGCAGCCGCAGGTGGAGATGCCTCAAAATCGGAATCGGAATGGCATGGAGTTGCAAAGTCTTTGAACACCACTGGACAATGATCCTTGGCCAATCTTGCCCATCTTGGCACCCTGGATTGCAGCTCATCCATCAGTGCTCCCAGGACACGATGCAATTGCCCAAGAACCAGGACAACTCCAACAATATTCAGATCAATGCGGCAACTGCTAGGGTTGAACCAATGAGTCGAAACAAGCTTCAACCATTGCCATGGCTGAAAGATCATCGTTTACGCTGCCTAGGGTTCCCTTTGCAAGAGTCTTCGGTCTGGTTGTCAAAGCGGTGCTGCCCAAGCTGGACAATTGCCCACCACGCATACAAAACCAGTCTGCAGAATGTCTCGTTCGACGAACCTGCCCTCACCCGCACGACGTAACTGCACTGCTTCCAGGCCTTCTGCGAGTCAGTCTGCTTGGCTGACGGGCTTGGTGCCGGTGCTGGCGCTACTGCTTCCGCCTCACATGCAGGACGCGATGTCACTAAGGCCTGCGTACTGCGTACAGGTCTCTCTTCGTAAAGCTGCACAAGGGCAGCCGCCCATCTGCACCATGGTGCGGACACGTGTAAACACCCCACCCCGAATGCCTTCCCAGCGCTTGCGGCCGCAATGCCACCAAGCATTTCCAGCCATTTTTGGGTCGTTGGTACACGCACAACAGAAAACCACACATGTTCACACCTACTTTCCCAAAACCTGCTGCTCAGGTGCCTGTACCTTTGCAGGCTTTGCCGCACCGGCAGCAGGGGCTGCAGCAGGTTCGGCAGCCGCAGGTGGAGATGCCTCAAAATCGAAATCGGATGGGCAAGGCGAATCTCAAGAAACCTTGCATTATGGAAATCAACCCATTCTACTGCAACACCTTTGTCATAAAGAATAGCTCGCCCATCTTGCTCTTTGTGGTCTACCACTAAACTCACATGCGAGTTGCCTGGATTGGAATACTTTTTACCCCTGGTTTTTCCAAAAAATAATATCTAGGGGGAGGGGGGGATTTTCTTTGAAAAAAGGGCCGGAAACATGCAAAGGCATAGCTCTCAAGCCACTAGGCATGTGATAACAGGTCCCCTGGCTGCGGCCGCTCCAAGGTGTATTGGGTCTGGTTAACGATTTGGTTGCTCCAGTTGATCCCGCAAACAAGCACGCCATTCACAAGGTGCCTCAAAACAAAAGCAGACTGCGAAGCATCACTTGTTCTGGAGGCTGTGTGGCAACCTCACTCGCACATCTCTGCAGGAGCAGCGTTAGTATTTCAGGCCTCCTGCATGCCCAGGCCCTGCAGACAAGTCATGGGAAACAAAGCACCACCACCACCACCATCATACCCACCCACACCCGCTCCCCAAATTTCGGCATCTGTTGCTGTGCAGGTGCCTGTTCTCTCGCAGGCTTTGCTGCTTCGGCTGCTTTGGCAGAAGCGGACTCGGCAGCTGCAGGCAGAACTGCCTCCCCATCTGAAACGAGGTGCAAGACACGACACCTTGGGTCGTGCAATAGCAGCGCATTTGTGCGCATAGTGCGCACATGTGCTCGTGTGGCGGGGCAGAGGGCATCGGTAAGATTGTATAGTATACGTGGTGTGTGTATGTGCGCCTGCGTGTGAAGGTATTTGGGTGGGGTAGGGTAGATCTCGATCGGTGCGTGGGCGCCTGCGTGACGTGCCTGTATGGGCCTCGACGACTGGGCCTATGCACATGGACGTTGCCGCACTCGGTTCGCCAGCCTCATTGCGCGCCTCCTCTGTAACCTGCTCCTGTGCAGGCGGCTCAGGAGACGGAGCCTGACACACCAGAGACAGCTGAGCCGCAAATTTTGCCAGTCTTAGGACGTTTGAAGCGATCAACACAACTAGCAACCGAAGCGCGCCTCGTGCCGCAACCTTTCTGGCACATTAGACTGAGTTGGAGCAGCCGGTGTGGCCTCAGGCGGGACCTTGACCGTTCAACATTGGGCACAAAATTGCGAGCAAAAGCTTCTGAGCCCTGCCTCTGACATGGAAGGGCCATTCGCTTTGTGTGCAAGGGTCTCCCTAGGTCAGAGGGGCAAAAACCTGCAGTCGACCTCAGTGCTCCACTGAAGTCCCGGATGCGCTGTCCTGCCCAGGTCTTCTGACGCCAAGACGGTCAGCCCATGCGAGGTGCAAGGCTTGGAACTTGCACATGTCTTGCCCACGTGACCCTGCACCATTCAGACACGATCTGCTGCTGTGCTGAACACGTGCCGCGTATGATGCAGCCTTCAGATTCAACAAGGCACCCCACTCAGCGGACACGACAGCAGAAATGACTTGCAGCTAGTCTGGGAAGCGCAACATATGAGAAACACACTGAAGTAGCGTCCAGCTGCTCACAAGGATGGAAGAGCCTTTGCAAGGAGAAGGGTCAAACCAAGAGAACAATCAACAAAACACAAACACAATATTCACATGAAATTGGAATGCTCCTCAACCCCATGAAGGACGATATCATAAAATAGGGAAGGATGGTTCTATGCATTCTTAAGCGCACCCTCCTACACGTGCACATGTGTATGCCTTGTAGTGGTCAAGTTTACCCACCAATATTGATGTGACCTGCCTTGTATACATCTAAATACACACACAAAAAATAACTATATATATACATGTATGTAAATCGGTATATGTATGTGCTACACACATATGCAACATGTAAGGCTAAAACATAATCAGGAGGCAAGACGAGGCTCCTGGAACCATCGCGACACGGTGCCCCATAGCTTGGCCTCGATCAACGCTCGACTTGCCATCGATCGACTCGTGGGATCAGTTGGTTTGATATTGAGAGCTTCCCAAAACACCGAGTGGAGGAAAATCATTTCTCATGTTGGGTGGGTTTGCATAACAAGCGGATTCGCAAGATCCGAGCCCATGCCCGTGCTCTTTTTTTCCAGCAACACACCACTTTAGCCTGCCCTCCTAAAATAAGCACAGTTGCGCACATATAGATCAACAAACTCTAGTTGCTTGTTCTGAACCCCCTGCTTGTGCCCTCCGGCTTTTGCCCAATAAACTTGGTTGACCCCTTTGTCGAAAAAGGGGAATTTGATTGCTAGACGCAGCCAAAAAAGGCAGAGACTGACTGGGCCGGCCAGAATGCAAACCAGGACCTGGCATAGAAAACCCGGAGCGTTACTTCCTAATCCTGCCGTTAATTTGCATGATGTACGCAATCCCCTCTCCAATTGTTGTGCGCTCGTGCCCCTCTTCTGTTCAGCAAATTGCAAAAAGAAGAAAACAATTGACAAAAACTAAACAACATCCAACCATGCGGAATTAGATTGATTTTCCCCTGCGATCCATATAACAATTCAGCATTCCTAAATCTGAGCTGCAAGGTCTCTTGAAACTTTAGCCGTCTATTCTGAATTGCTCTGGGCTTTGCCTTGACACTTTGACAGTTGCATCTGCACAACTGGGTCTCCTGTATTTCTGCCTACCTTCAAAAGTATGCCCCTCTCAGGTTGCCAATGCGATGGTAAACGGACTCGCGTTACTTTACATGCAGCAGCGTGTTGGGGCCTGCGACCTCAACTAAACTCAGCCAAACTCCGCAAATAAGCTCGCTCTGGCCGAAGCAAACGAATGCCGGGGATCATCTTCATGCCAAGCCGCGAACATGGCAACAAATGGAGGCGGATTTCACGACATGGGTCCAAACTCTGTGCTGATCATGCCAGCTACCTTGCTAAGGTTGAAGCTTCTGTTGGGCCCAGGGGTTCGCTTGCATGTAACAAAACAAACCCCTTGAGCAACAGCTTTGTCCTCATTTATAACATGTGCAGGTTGACTTGTACGCGAGCTCCTGTCGTTGGAAGCAATGCTAGGGGCCAGGTGCAAGGTCAGAGCTGGCAGCCTGCTTGAGTGGCCCTGAAGGACAACTATCGAGCAAAAGATGATTTCTCGGGTCGACCTGAAGCGGGATGCTGCGCATCGTTTCTGATGTCGTCATGTCTGCACTTTATTCTGTCCTTGCATTCTCCTTGCTACAGATACCCTACTTGTGGCTCTTGCTGTGAAGACACCAGCCTCATGGCAGCGACAAACGGATTTTACTTGCGTGGCGGGCAAAAAGGTGAGGTCGAGCATTCAGCAAGCGGCATGCAAAGGTTTTGCGAACAATCGAGACTGCTTGACCTACAGCACATGCTGCCACTAGCGTCTTGTGTCTGCTCAGCTCCACCCACTTCGCAAAAGTTTGAACGGGCCGCCTTGAAGCACAACACAAAACTTGCCATTTGTCCAACAAGAGATTCTCAAATCCGCGGACCGCTGTTGGGAGGGAGTGCCCCCACACTAAATGTGGAACAAAAAGAGGCGATGCACTTGTTGGGGGGGACAGTGGGGACTCACCAAAATTTCCCGCGTAGTTGTCCCATGTCATTTGTGATGGAAACCTCATATTCTGACGGTGGCTCATGTCTCCTGAAAAGCAGACAATCCTTCAAGTCAGCTTCCATGTTGGTGGCAGTTGCTCCTTTTTGGACCTGATCAAAAACAGTTGTCATGCCAAACATCTCCGAAACCTTGTCATGCCAAACATCTCCGAAACCACCCTACTGGAGGGTATCCACTAGGGTTGCTCAAAACTCGTCAAGTGAAACCGAAAAATGCTTGGTGAAACGGTGGTGCAAACCAACTGTGTTCATCGAAAGCCCTGCCCAACCCTGGAAAAATGGGAACGGCCCGTTGGATCGGCGGTTCGCACTGTGGAGTCGGAGGTCACGCTAAAGGACTCGAGCTTCAGGTTCAGCTTCTCCCTGTCCAGCCTTGAAACCATCGAGCGGCGATGTGCTGCAGGGGAATGGGAGGTAGTCGGGTTTGCTAAAATCCAAAATCGGGCTGGTTTTTTTTTCAAGAAACACTGAATCCTGTGCTTCCTGGTTCCTCCATTCCTGTGAATAAGTGGAGTGAACCGTCACTTCGCTTCAATGGCGCGTGTGGCCGAATGATCTCCGTGCCTCGTCTGCATTGGTTGCCCTACCCAATGGAACTCTGCCATCTTCAAGCTCTTTGTTTTGGAGCGTGGGTCGATCGAACAGCGGGTGTTCAACCCCAAACTGGTCTTTCGCTTTCGGGGGAAGAACCCCCAAACAAATGTGGTTTTCCTGCACCACAAAAAGAAAAGCGACCGTCCAAAAGCCGCCCAATCCAAAGCATGCTGTGAAAGTTCCCCCATTTTGGGGCACATGTCAGCCGTTGCGTGGGCCATGGTTGTTTCAAGTACCGCCCCGGTCACGCCCGGGCGCCCCGCGTGCCCGAAGTCGCGCAACGCGCCCGAAGGCTCCGGCCCTCTGTCAGCCTCAACATCGGCCGCGTAAGACTTGGAACTGTTTGGATGCTAAAAAATCACGAATCTAGGGTTTCATTCCTTTCTTCCTTTCTGTTTTAAGGTTTTCTGGAAAGAAGGATCCCTGGAAAGAATGGGGAAGGTACCCCTAGAACAAAAAGCAAAAAACAAGAAGCCAAATGCATACCAATGGATGATGCGCAATGAAGACCGAATGACAAACAAACAGGAGACTTATTCCCACCTATTCCCACGGCTGGAAGCAAACAGACGTGTTACAGAAAGCAATCCCATGATGTCACAGACACGAGAAACTATAAGTTTCAAGCAAACCGGTGGTTGACACGACAGCCATTCACAAGACTAAAAGATAAACCCCATGGCTTGCCCCGTGTCAGACCGCGCTTTGGAGGGGGCTGCGTCTTTCCATCAATCAGGGGATCGGTCATCTAACCTGGAAGTCCACATCAGCCGGCCAAATACGTGCACATCAAACGTCGCAGTCGCCTTCAATATTCTCATGCTGCCGTGGCATTCAGATTGCCAACTGAAATGAGAAAAAGGAAGGTTCTCATAAGTAGTTAATTGTCGCACATCTCTTGCGCCCGTACGGGCCAGTAGTCTTAGAGTCTTTTCAGCCCTGGCAGCCATCATTGCAACAGCTCCTACCGTAGAAACGCTTGAAACATGCAAGGCTCCAGCAGAACCATTTGCTGGGCCCAAACCGCACTTGGCACCTGTGATATGATGCCCTACGAGCCGGCCCTTATCTCAGCTCCGCACAGCATGCCCTGAAAGCTCGAGATGGAACCATCCCGCCTCAGCATCATCTTGCTAGCAGCAAGCTGCGTGCACTTTTGCTGACAATGGCGAGAACCCCTGAACATGGACATGTCCTCAACAATGTTGCCAAAGCATTGCAAAAGCTGCGTTGTTCAAACCCAAAATCTGAATACCATGCCGCCCTCCCCGAGATAAGCTCAACGAGTGCTTGCTCGTAGCCAACTTTTCAGGCCAATAAGCTGCAAGTGCGCTTTTGAGCCATGATCAAACGGGGTAAACATGGTACGCTTGCCAACCTCTCTATAAGCCAATACCTTCTTGCCACGCAGTTTCCGACACCAGCCATCACTTGACTCCCCTACCGGCCGCCAATTCGGCCTGCGCAAAGTCCCACAATTCACCAAGCAGGATTCGAGAACCCCACTGCTTACAGTAAGATGGAGGTCGCGTGCCCAGTGCCATGTCAGCTCTTGGTTCGAAGCAACCAAGAACTTCGAAACAGAGACAAATGAAGTGAAGTGCGATGCTTGTTCACTAGTTAACCTCGGTTGCTTTCTGCTCCCCTGGTAAAAGTGAATAGCTTTTAGTGGTTTAGTGCGGAAAACCCCTTAGTCGGCAAAAAGAAGCTTAAAGTCCTACCATCCCTTGGCAACCTGCACCAACCCCCAAACGCCAAAAACTCACCTCACCCGATGCTTCCGCCTTCACCGCGCGCGCCGGCCGATCCCATGGACTCGCTCCGACTCCCGTCTCCCGACTCGGGCGGCGGCATGCGCAGCAGCACCTCGAGGCCTGGAGGCTTGAAGCTGGCGTCCGCCGACAGCTCCCAGGCCTCTCCCGAACGACCCGCGGCTCGAGGCCGGTGGAGGGTCAAAAGGACGGGCCACAGGCGGTGGTTGGCCAAGATGGGGGAACCCCAAAATGGGGTTCCAAGCCCGGGCAAATGGAAACATGGACTAAACCTGCGGTCCCCTGTTGGTTTTTAAGTTTCACCCATACCCATGTCACAAAATGCTGGTGTTGCAAGAAGGCTGGTTGATCATCATGATTGATGAACTGCACAATTTTCAGTGTATGGAGAATGTTTGGCTTGGCTCATGGTACCCACGTCAGGGCTGCCCAAATGCATGTCAAACAACACAGGTGCAAGACCAGGGACTTCCACAGTAGAAGGCAGCCAGTTCATGCCAGGGGTGTCCATATTTATCAGACCAAGAGTTCAACCTAGTCACAGTATAATTTCCCGGAAAGCCGTGATTTCTAACGCAGGAGAAGGAACAAAGTAGCACAACTGGCTCATCACAGCACGAAAGCTGAAAGGATATCACATGGTCATGAGGTGCAAACACCGGAGACTAGCATCCAGAAAAAAAATAGCGAGAGTGCACGTGACACATCGAAATGGACCGAAGAAACCTCTCACTCATGACTATGATATCTGGTCCTAGGTGGAGCAAAACAGAGCTGCCCTCGGGCCCCGGCTACAAGCTTTAAACAAAAGTTGGCTAAATGGAAACCACCACATTTTTTTCTTTTTCTTTTTTTTTTATATTTTTTTTTTTTTTTTAAACTAAATGGAAACCACCACAAAAAAAAAAAAAGCGCTAAGGAGCCAGACGGCTGGGAGCCACCCTCCAGCCCAGAGGAAGGGATTCGAGGCCGCAGCAGCCAAAAGCCCAGGGTGAGCTACCGGAGGATGAGCATCTGGGCGAAGCCGTTGCGGTGTTGCTGTGGTGCCGTTTCCCAGATATTGAGGAGTTTTCTCTTACAAAAAAAGCATTATTTTTGTATTTTTATTATTATTTTTTATTTTACATAGTACCTTTCCACCAATTCACCTGGAACCTGACAATGGCACTCTTTGGGAGGGTGGCCATTAAAGCAGGCCCGTGAAACCAATCCGCCACATGCTGCTCAACAAATGCAAAGTACAGTCTGGACCTACGGCAGTGGTCTAAACTGTTGCCCTCGAGTTTGGGCGCGAGGCCCTGTTCAAAAGCCCGGACCCTAAATGAGCAAGCCAGGCCAGGCAAGCCTTGCATGCCCTTTGCTGTTCACTTCCTGTCTAACTTTAACTGTTGCATGCCCAGCATAAAGCAATACCGAGGCTTTGAAGCTGGAGTGATTGGGTCAGCAAAAACAAAAAGGCAACACCCTATCAGAAATCAACATCCGCCCTTGCAAAGCATGTTGCGAGAAAGCCGGCACTTACATCATCCACTGCAATAGGGTCTTCTTGGGTGCCTGAGTTCGCTTGTCTTGCTCGTCGCAGGCAAGCGCCCCAACACACTAGGCCCAAATATAAAAATCGCAACTTCCGAGTAAGGGACTTTCAGCTACACGAAGAAGCCATTGCTTCGGAACCTGGAGTTCTGCTCGCCCCGGTGCTCGGCAATCATTGTTTTTAGAAGTTGTTCCATGTTGACCTAGGGTTTTCCTCCTACTGATCTCGTCGTGGTGTAGAAGACAAATTGCGGGTTTCACGAGTTGGGGGAGGGGGAGGGAACCTTCGTCATGTTTCAGTTCTCATATGAAATCAGGTGAAACA